GTCTTCCAGCTACAGTGTTTGGTTAAGAGATGGTCACATGACTCCTGACTGTCCAATCAGAATCTTCCCCGGAACTTCTGCTGGAAGTAACAGAAAAAACTCAGTCTTTCTCAAGGATCCCACGTATTAGGAAGTTGTTGACTCTGACTGCCAATGACCTATCTTGCCACAGGAAGATTACTAGCCAAACAGTAGCATAAGGAGATGAGAAATGAAGAGACAGAGCTCTGATGATGTTTGAGGCCCTGAAGCTAGAGCCACCTTCTGGGCTTCCAGTTAGAGGAGCCAGTCATTCCTACCTGTAACTTATCTATATTGGATGTATTTCTATGATTTGTAACCCAAGGAGACCTGACTAATATACTTGGTATACACACTCTTCAATCTCTGAAAACAGTAAAGAACAAAAGGGGCAGAGGTAAGCTTTACTATCTCAGCAGGTTCTTTGTGTCCTTCTAAGATCTCCCATGCTTGAGCTCTGAACAGAAAGCCTTTGGCCAAGATACTCAAAATAACATTTAGTTTTAACCAGCACTATTTAAACACTTAATTTAATCAGTACTGAGAAAGGCATGGGTCATAATAATGAGATATCTCAAAATTTTTTAAAGGAAAAAGAAAAACCATTGACCCAAATATGATGCTTGATAATTCTGAATCAGTGCTATAAATGATTATAAAAGAATATTAAGATGCTTAATTGCTGAATAAATGAAATATAAACATTCATTTTGTTACTTAAAGAGTTGTTTAATATGTAATGGGGAAAACATTTTATCAAATGTACTATAAGTGATAAATACTAGTTTCCCTTTCTAAAACAAATCAATTCTTGAAACCATTAACCACCAATTAAATATAACTTTAATTTTTTTCTACTTATTTCTCCCTTTTATTTTTTTTCACTAATGGAAGAAGACATTTTTATTCAGAAGATAGAGCAACATAATGGAAGGATTGTGGAGGATAGAGGGATTTGGAGTTAGAAGCCTTGCTTTTAATCCCAAGTCACTTAAAGTCATTTGGCTTTTCAGTGTAGCATATGACAACTATAAGGAATCTCTTACCCACCTCATCAGTTGTAGTATTAAATACCTTTTAAAGCAATATCACTCAGCCTTTACTATACTGATACATAGGAATTCCCTGGATAATTTCACATTTCACTAGAATTTTACAGATTCTTGTTAGGTTTGGAGTGGGACCCGAGATCTGCATTTCTAATAAGCTCCCAGGTGATGTTGATGTTGCTGCTTCACACTTTTGAGTAGCAAGGTTTTAGGTGTCTTCTAGGCTCACAATGATTTTGCTTCTCCAGAAACAGCCTCGGTTTATAGTGGTGACCTATTAATAGCTGTTCTTGTACTCCCTTGCCATTGCTGACTATAATGGAGGTGATGTTTGACCTGGCCTGGACCAAAAGAAGGTCCAGATTAGGTCCTGAAAATCTGATTTTGAACAGAGATGTGATATTTAATCACTCACTCATTCAGTAATTCTTTTAAATTCTCTGTCAGACACTATAACAGGAGTGGATGTACTAGCCAGTCAAGCAGGTCCCTGCCCTCATAGAGCTTTCACTCTAGTAATATACAAGATAATTCCAGATGGGCTGAGTGTTGTGAAGGGAGTGGAGCATTTCAAGGATTTCAGGAGACCTAGTTTAAATGGGGATGTTGGGGAAAGCCAAACTCTTGCTTCCCTTTCTGCAGGAACCTTGGAGGCCACATGTTGAAGATGATGGCATAACAAATGAAAGAAGGCTGGGTCCCTGTGTGCTTGTGTGGAGGAGAACCACTCTCCCCCTCTTCCCTTCCTTGCAGACAGAATTGGACTATGATTAGAGTGATAAATGAACTTCATTACACTAAGCCACTGAGATTTCAGGGTTTATCCATTATAGAAGCTTGCACTGCTTACTGTAAATTCATAAATTGTTCAACTCTTTCCGAGTTTCTAAAAATTGCTTTTTTTTAAAGACTTAAACTAGCTAGAGCTACTCTCTACTACTTGGATCCCAAAGAACCATAATGAATTTCAAGAGTTGCTGTAAGATTGTGAACTTGCTGACAAGTACTATCATATTCACATCATGGTTTCCATTGTGCCGTCATTCTCAATTTCTTGCTCTGGTCATTTCTATCTTTGATTTCTTTTTCAGACCTTTACAAAATCAACTATACTAAATTTCACTAAATTGCAGCAGAAACAAAGGAAGCAATTATAAAGTTTGTAATTTTCCTTGAAAACGTAAGTGCTTAGATTTTAGACAAATCCTTGGTGGTACAAGAATATTAACATTTACATTTGCCACACTTATTCTCATGTGCTACCAACATACAATAAACCTGGGCATCCCTCAGAGGCTCTGAAATCGCCAAGGGAAGCTTGTCTTCTATACTTCATTGTCAGAGGAGTCTTTTCTTCTTTGACTACTGGTCTCAAGAACATGTAGCTGGTGTCCCAAGCCCCTCACTAACCTTCCTCTTCCCCTCTTCTAATTTTTGTGCATCGTGGGAAGCCACAGCTAAGCTGTTAGTTAAAGATTATTTGGGAGTGTTTCATCTTGAAGGATGTTTGCTGGTTTCTGTTCTGAACGAGCTGCATTTAATACCAGTCTGTGCAGGTAACACTCATCATGATCTCCGCCACTCAAATTGATCATCTGGGCCTGGTTGTGAAGAATAATGCAGAAAGGATATTTGAGTAGAATCTGCAGACATTTCGTGATTATTTCTGGCATTACGTTTCTCATCGTTCGTAACCTGATGGCCTTTTATGACAGATACTGGGCGTCACAGGAAATCTCCATGATCCAATGAGAATTATTAGGTGTTTCATTAACAAGGATCAAATTGATGCCTCACAAAAGGAGAAACTGACAGACACCACCTCAGGATGATCTTAAATTAAACCTTTTCACCTTTGGACCTTTGAGCCTTTTTAAGTCTCTCGAGCATTTTTAAATAGAAATAAATTCTGGCTTCACAAACTTAAAAAAAGAAGATTATTTGGTACACCATAAGATTTATGGCTGGATCACAGTTGAGGACAAGACAGATGAACAAGATCAGAGAGGCCAATGCTAGAGACTTATCTTTCTTCACCTGGCCTTCATTAGTTTTTATATTGCGATTGTCCTTGTAACTTTGTGTTCTTAATGGAAACAGCAGTAAATGGAATACCTAATATGAGCTTCTTTAAGTCTGAATGCAGCAAAAGCAGCATATGAAGTCAAAATCTCCATCCTTTGAGCCATCATAATGAAATCCTCCCAGCCATGGGTCAATTCATGTGTGTGTGTGTGTGCCTGCACAAGCGCTTGCTCGCACGCGTGGGAGGGGGTGGGGGAGAGTGCACACACGCGAGCCCGAAATTTTTAAGCAAATTACCACACAGAGCCTAAAACTTTCCATAGAACCAGACTCCTGATGAGGAGACAAAAGATGGGCCTCTCAGGAAGACCCCTGAGTGAGGATGCCAACCTTCCTTTTTACAAGGCTTTTTAAACTACAGTGGGCCTTGACTTACGAGTGATCCGACTAACGAGTTTTTCGAGATACGAGCGGTCCCGATTTTTTGCTTTGAGTTGCTAGCTAAAATTCAGGTTACGAGCCAGCTTCAGATACCCCACCACTAGGTGGCGCAGCGAACGTCACAGTGAACGCCACAACATCAGCCCAGCATCACGTGTCTCACTCGTTCACTTTTTGATTTGACATACGAGTAATTTGAGTTATGAGCTCCGTCACGGAACGAATTAAACTCGTAAGTTAAGGCCCCACTGTATTTGTTTCCTTCAGCAACAAAGGTTAGTCTTGGCCTCATTGCCTGCTCAGTGACCAGAAGTGGAACTGGAAACAAGTAGTGAAAATCAGAAACAAGGGAAGACATATGAACACACATAAATGTGGAAACTCAGAGATAAATATAAACTTTAAAAGATACATGGAGACTAAAATATTTAGGAGTCTCGTGGAGCCTCATCCATCATCCATCTTCCATCCATCCATCCGTCCTCCACCCATCCATCCAATACTGACTGAGCTGAGCCAGGGGCTGGGGGACACAGAGATGGAGGTGGAAGTCTAAAGGCAGAAATTGGAGGTAGGAATAGCCGTAGATGTGACTCTGTAAGGGCTCCCACGACGCTGAAGTAGAGGAGTTGGGCACCTGGGGGAGATTCATGGAGTGAACCTGCAGCCCCAACACAGGTGAGGGTGGGCGAGAACCCTGCGCACCATAGAGAGGCCAGGACCTCCGGGCTTCCTAGAGAGGCCAGGAAGTGGCTCTAGGAGGCCCGTTGGAAGGCTTGGGAGCCGTCGAGACGGGCTGGTACCCGGCACACTGGAGGTCTGCCCTCCCCGTTTCTCGCTGTTGCGGCGCCGTCCGCAGTCGCTGTGAGTGGGCCGGGTCGAGAAG